TCCCATAAGGATATATGAAGGTAGTTTTCTCTTGATCATCGGGGTGGATGGGGATTTGGAAGAATCTCGAATATCCATCGAGGAAACAATAAAACTTGTGCCTTGTTAGTCTTTCAAGCATTTGATCAATAAATGGAAGAGGGAAGTGATCCTTCTTGGTGGATGTGTTTAGATGTCTATAGTCTATACACATCCGCCAACCCGTGACCGTCCTAGTTGGAATGAGCTCACCCTTCTCATTCTCAACCACGGTCATGCCCCCCTTCTTTGGAACGACATGCACGGGGGAGACCCACCTTGAGCTAGAGATGGGGAATATGATTCTCGCATCCAATAGCTTGGTGATCTCCTTATTTACTACCTCTACCATTTGGGGATGTAGTTTTCTTTGTCGTTCGATAGAAGGAAGGGCCCCTTCCTCTAGTGTTATGTGGTGTTGGCACAAGGCGGGGCTTATACCTTTAAGATCATCAATTGTGTATCCCAAAGCACCTTGGTGCTTTCTCAAAACACCACATAACTCTTGAGCTTGGATCACGCTCAAGGATGCACTAACTATCATGGGGTAAGTGGAATGAGGGCCCAAGAACTCATACCTAAGGTGTTATGGTAGAGGTTTGAGCTCTACCATAGGCACACCATTACCTTCCTTTGATGTGGCCGCTTGCAAAGCTTCTTGGCTTGAGATTTTTAAGCACATTTGCTCATCCACTTCCTCCATGCTTCCATTAAGCAATTCTTCATAGAATGCCACTTCCTTGCATGGTGTACCTACTTTGTCCTTGTTCAACAAAACATTCTCAAGAGCATCGTTAGAGGTGAGCAAGTGCTCATGCATGGAAGACACAACATGATCAAGTGAATCAATCATCATGCAATTTTCTAGAGAAGAACATGGATACTTTATGCTTTCATTCAAATCAAATTCAATGACCTCATCTCCGACCTTAAGGGAAATCTTTGCACTCCTCACATCAATCATAGCACCCGAGGTAGCAAGAAAGGGTCTACCTAAAATGATTGGAATGTTAGCATATTCATCCATTTCAAGCACAATAAAATCCACCGGGAACACAAACTTCCCAACCCTCAATGGAACATCTTCTACCTTACCTTTTGGAAACTTGATTGACCTATCGGCTAATTGCAAGGTAATGTTAGAAGGTAAGAGTTACCCTAGTTCAAGCCTTTGATAAACCGAATATGGCATTATGCTCACACTAGATCCCAAGTCACATAAGGCATTATCAATATGAATCTTGTTAATAGCACAAGGAATGGAGAAGTTTTCGGGGTCTTTCAATTTGGGTGGCATTTTGTTCATGATGATAGCACTACAATTTTCGGTCAGGTTGATAGTCTCCACAACCTCACAAGTCCTTTTCCCACTCAAAATGTCCTTGAGGAATTTGGCATAATTTGGCATTTGGTTGATCACATCGGTAAAAGGTATAGAAAGATGAAGTTGTTTTAGCATATCAATGAATCTCCCAAATTGTTCATCCAATTTGTGTCTCATGAATTTTTGTGGGTAAGGGAGCTTGGGTTTCACAATTTCTTTCTCTACTCTCACCTCTCTAGGTGTCTCAACCACAACCTCATCCAATGATGCCCTATCCCCCTCATTCTCAACCAAAGCTTTCTTAGGAATCTCCTTATCCTCACCCTTCCTAGGTAATCTCTCCTCAAGAACCTTACCACTCCTTGTAACAATATAATTCACGTGTTTCTTGGGATCAAGACCTTGGGAAGGTAAAGAAGAAGGGCTTTCATGATCTTTCAAAGCATTAGAAAGTTGAGAAATTTGGTTTTCAAGCATTTTATTGTGGGTCATCATTTCATTGAACTTCTTATCACTAAGGCCCATGTATGTGTTCAACAACTTGGTTTGATTCTCAATTATTTCTTCCAAATTGGTCCTAGGTGAAGAAGGTTGTGAATAGGAATTTTCTCCTTGAGTCCATGGAACAAATCCGGGTGGGGGACCTCTTTGAGCATTATTTTGAAAATTGCCCTTCCCTTGGTTGTTCCAAGTACCCCTATTTTGATTTTGACCATAACCTTAATTATGGTTACCACCACCTTGATTATGGTTACCACTACCTTGGTTGTGATTTCCATAACCTTGGTTTTGATTACCATGATTTTGGCTTTGATTTTGGCCACTATAACCTTGGTTATTATAGCTACCATGAGAACCTTGGTTCCCTTGGTTTCTATAACCACCACCTTGGTTATAGTTGTCAAAATTGCCTTGGTTTTGGTAATTCCTATTCCATTGACCTCTTTGGTTATCAAACCTTTGAACATTATTATTTGACACATAATTCACATGCTCACTCTCATTGTTATCAAACTCAGCAACACATTCATTTAGACAATTACTAGAGTCATGATCATACGATCCACATGCATCACAAAACAAACAACCCATAGGCATATTATGTGAAGAGGGAGGGGGTTGAGAGTTAGAAGGAGTACCTCTCCCCTTAATTGAGAGGGAAGATTGGAAGCTTGGGAAGAAGAAGAAGTGCTCTCCAACTTGGATTTGATTGTGGTCATCTCCTTTCCCAAGTTTGTCATTTGGTAGGAAAGGTTGTTGATCGCATTTAGATGGTCCACCGAGTACAATGAAGATTGCTTGCTTGAAGAGTCTCTCTCCCCATCTTGCCAATCTCTATAGTACGTCACCACATCCTCAATAATTTCAACCACTTCTTCTTCGGTCTTGTTCATGATAGGACCCCCGGCCCCCCCATCAAGGCATGACTTGCCTTGGGGACTTAAACCGCCATAGAAGATTTTAACCACTTGGTATGTTGGGATTCCGTGGTGAGGGCACTCCCTTTGATACTCTTTGTATCTCTCCCATGCTTCGTAAAGGCTTTCATTTGGCCTTTGCTTGAACCCTTGAATCAAGGCTCTTGCCTCCGTCGTCTTCTTTTGAGGGTAGAAGCGGGACAAGAAGGCCTTTGTAACATCATCCCATGATCTCAAGGATTTGGGCTTCACTTCTTTATCTAGCAACTCTAAGGATCTTCCTATGAGAGAGAAGGGGAACAACTTGAGGTGTATGAACTCTTGAGAAACTCCGTTGACTTTGATGGTGTTGCAATATTTTTCAAATTCTTTAAGATGGTTCAACGGGCTCTCATTCTTAGCCCCACTAAATTGCCTCCTCTCAATTAAGGTAATCATGGCCGGCCAAATTTCGAAATCATTTGCCGGTGTTGTAGGCGAAGCTATACCGCTCTCAAACCTATAAGCACCGGGTATTCCTAGCTCCTTCAAGGCCACTCTCGGATTTTCTCCCATGCCTTGCTCTTCTTTAATCTCTTCTTCACTTGAAGACTATACCCCAAGGATCGATTAGCTATTCTTCTCCTTGAGAGAGTCCTTTCGATTTCCGGGTCAAAAGGCACAATGGATCGATCACGAGCTCTATGAATGCAAAACTTCAAAGAAAATATTAGTAACACGGCTACAAGTGTAGCCTAAAGAAACAAAATCTTTTTGTATTTTTTTTCAATTAAAATGAAGTAGACTCAACAACAAAAGCTAAGCACCAATAGCATTCCCCGACAACGGCGCCATTTTGACAAGAGGAAAATGTATGTCGTTATCTACCCTTCCCCCAAGTCAAACTAAATTTGTAAACACCTAACCAACCTTATATGAATATAGGGTAAGTTAAGGGTCGATCCCTTGGAATGAAATGATGAAAACTAGAGTCTAAGTCAAGCTACCTCGAAGATGGAGTTGAGATTATGGTTGGAACTACGGTAAACTAAAACAAGTCTAATCAAGTAAATCAAAGGTCTAGACACTAAGGATATGGGTTTCACAAGCAAGTTCAATGATAATACTAGTTTAGAGCACAATCAATTATTTCAAGTATTGCAATGGAAAAACAATAGTAGCAATCAAGAGAGTTCAAATGCTATCTCCTATAGGCCAATCTAGGTGTCACTAGGAAAGGCAAATCAAGAAAAATCACAAGCAAACCCATTCAATTAGAGCAACTTTCAAATCAATTGTTCATGTCATTAAGAGTTGCAATGCAATCTAGATTAATCTTATAGGTTGATCACTCCTAGTCTAATCAATCACATGCAAAACTATGTCAACCAATTTAATTGCAACAAATCAATCAATCAAAGAGCATCAACTAGCAATTTCATTAATCAAACATGCTTCCCCCATTCCCTAGCAACTAATCTACTCACTAATCATGGTGAAATTCAAGAACAAATAACTAGAAATTGCATTAATCTTCATTCTATATCAAAATCTAAGAGAAATCAAAATATTCAACAATATCAAATTCAAACCCAAAGAAAAACAAGCAACAAGCATAAATCAAATATCAAGTAAGTAAGAGATGAAAGAAGGAAGAGATTCTCACTAATATTGATGATTGAAAATGAAGAAATCCAAACTTGATTGATCAAATGTTGAGTTACAAATCCAAAACCAAGAACTTCTCTCTAACCTCTCTCTAAATTCTCTCTCTAAAACTAAGCTAATGAAATATTATCAAAAAGTTCTTTTTAAAAAGGAATTACAATTCTATTTATAAGTAAAGAAGAAACCGGCAAATCCCGCGCCCTCTCCCGATGAACCCGCGGCCGCGGAGAAATGGGTGCGGAACCCTCCGCGGGCTTTCTGGGCAACACCCGCGCCCGCAGCTTCACTACCCGCGCCCGTGGCCAAAGATGTCGCGCCCGCGGCTAATCCCCTGCTCCCAAAACTCAATCAGGGGGCCGCGGTCTCTCTGAGATGGAGCGCCCTCCCCGGATTTCCCGCGCCCGCGGAGAGCCCGCGGGGCAACCGCAGGAAGCTCCTGCCAAAACCTGGCAATTTGTGCTTCTTGAGCCGGCGCCCACGGCTCCACTGACCGGCGCTCGCGGCCTGCTGGAAATACCTTGGAGACCTCTCCAAGGCCTCTCCAAGGCCTCTCTAAGCCCTCTCTAGCCAAATGCTTCTTCCTTACTTGGTCATTAAGGTCCCAACTTGATCCTTTGCAAAGGCGATTCTCCAAATACCTACACAAGCAAACAAAGAAAGGAAATAAAAGTGAAAAAGAGCCAAATAAAAGGAAAACACGAGAACCATAAAGAAAAGAGGAGAAAGTGAAACTGAAGGAAAAAAAAACCAAAAATAAGAGTGGAAAGCATAAAAAAGGGAAAGAAATAACCCTATAAGACTACCCTATGAGTGCCATAAATGACATTCATCAATACACAACACAAAACATGTTTCAAAATTGCACAAAAACAATAGATCAACTCATCATGGCATATTTTACAAATATCTACAATAAATAGGTCATCATTTCAAGTGCAAAAGAACAACATGAACAACAAGGAACACCATTTACCACAAGTAGTACCAAAAATGGTGATTTTCTCAATTCTTCACTAAATTATGCAATTTTTTTCTCAAATCGCTCACAAACACACATACACACATATGCAAGTAAATTCTTGCCAAGAATTTCAACATAAACCCTAAAATCAAAAAATCCCCAAATTGATTTTTAAGGGTTTTTACATGAAATTGTTCGTTTGAAACAAATTCGAGACAAAAATCAAAGGAAACTTACATGGATCCTTGTAGGAATCGAAAATGAGGAAAGTAGAAAAAAATTATAGCAGAATTGATGAAGATGAGCTCCAAAAGCTCGAAAAACCGTGGAGACCACATCACAGCAGCCGTGACACGGACAGCAGTAGCCGTGACACGATAACAGCACCCCGTGTCACGGTGAACCTGGGACGTGACGGAGCTCCGGCGACCTCAGGTGACGGCAACAGCAAGCGCAGAAACGAGCAGCAGCAAAATTTCAGAGAATAAAAGAAAAAAAAAAGAAATAAGAACAAGCAATACCGCCGCGCCACGGGAGGCAACTTTGTTTGACGAGAAATAAATCCGAGCGCCGGTGAACCCTTGCCGTGGCTCGGTAATTTAAGCAGAAGAAAAAAGAAAATGGAGAAGAAGAAGTGCGGAAATAGCAAGAAAATGACAAAGAGCAGCTTGAATTTACAGCCAAAAAAAGCATCCTGTTACATCTCGTTTCTAGTGCGACGGTTTCCGTTACCATGTAACGGTAACATATTGACATGGCACACGTGGTTTGGACTGCTCAAAGATGCCAGTTGACTGATTTGCAGCCAACAAATTTCCCGCGTCACGAAAATTTTCTCCGCGTGACGAGGACCTTTTTCGTGACACGGTGGTCCTGCGCCTGCCCTGCATATCCCTTGAAACTTGCAGCGAATATTCCTTGCAATTTGACCAAAATTGCACGATTTTCCGCGCAAATTGGGCAGTTAATTTTTCAGTAAAATTACGCGGAAAATTCTAACTGACGGTTGAAGGGTATCAGAATTACTATTTTACCCCTAGGAAGCGTCAAAATCAATTTTGTCGATGTTTTAAACACCTAATATGGTCGGATAATCGACTTCAAGGTGTGAATCATCCGCGGCCCACATTTGGGGATAATCAAAACATCATAGACTTGAAAATTTCAGCGATTACAGTAGTCATCGGCTTTTCTCAAGCATGGAAAGCGTTATTAGTAGATTTTTCTTCAAGTGTTGAAAACCGCCAAGTCGGCTTTCCTCAAGCTTGGAAAGCGTTATCGGTAGATTTTTCTTCAAGTATATAAAACCGCCAAGTCGGCTTTCATCAAGCTTGGAAAGCGTTATCGGTGGATTTTTCTTCAAGCATAGAAAACCGCCAAATTCCTTTGTCGGCTTTCCTCAAGCATGGAAAGCATTATCGGTGGATTTCTTCAAGCATAGAAAAACGCAAAAATCTTATGTCGACTTTCCTCAAGCATGGAAAGTGTCATCCGGTAGGTTTCTTTAGCCTTAGAAAGCTACCAAACTCATCTGACGGCTTTCCTAAAGCATGGAAAGCATTTCCACAAACGTCATCCGGTGGATTCCTTCAAGCATAGGAAGCTACCAAACTCATTTGTCACCGATACACTGGTGTCAGATACGTTTTCTTTCCCTTTACTCTTTTATCTGTGGAACTAATATTTTTCTACGGGTATCGGCGTATACAGAGTGATTTAGGATCGTAGAACGTCTTAAATCATTCTTTGTCCCCATCGACTACTATGACTATCGTTTTCGAAACTGACGTTTCTACAAACTCAGTCAAAGTGGGGGCTTCTGTAGACACCTAAAAATGTCTCCCCAAAACCAAACCCGATGATGAACAACCTTTCACCGCTATTATTGGGTGGGTTTAGTATTTTATCCCGAGAGAGCTTAAAAAATCATATTTTATTAAATTCGTATTTTTGAATAGTCTATGGATTAGTCTTGATGTTTGGTTCAAGCATAGTTTTAATTTCAGCCCAAACTTATTATTTAATTTTAGCTCAAACCTTTTTTAATTTTATTGTTTTATTATTTTTTTTTTTTGCCCAAACATTTTATTTATTTTATTTGCTTATTTTCTTATTTTAGCCAAATAATAATAAATCAGAAAAAGGCCAAAAATTATCAATCGGCACTTAAAATGCTGAACGAAAATTAGGGTTAAAAATGTATTTAGACGGAAAAGAGGACTAAAATTCCCGCGCCACGGCAGGATTCTACCGTGTCACGGGAATCTGTCCCGTCTGACGGTGGGATTTCCCATGACACGGGAAACCTGCTATGACACGGGAATTTCCGTGTCCTTTCCGCGTAAACCCTTAACGCGTTTTCTTCCCTGTTTACTAAATATTTCCCGCGTCACTGAAAAATTGCACCGTATCACGGGAATGTTTCCCATCTGACGGTGGGACTTCCCGTGTCACGGTACAGTTTGTCGTGTCACGGGATACTTTTTTAGGGTTTTTATCATTTTAGGGTTCCGTGTGTTCCCTCAGCACATTTTCTCTATAAATTCCCCCTCATTTCTGATGTACGGGGCATCAATTAATTCTCTAGTTTTTTCTCTCTTCTATACTCTAGCCTAAACACTAGCCTACCCTTCTTATTTCAAAATTCCTTCTTCAAGTACTCCAAGGAGTCCATACTTTACTCGTGGTTCTGTCCTTAAGCCAAGGCGTGAAAGGTAGAACTGTTTGAGGGTTTGGCCCCAAATCAACTCTACTTTATTTAATTTAATTTAATTATTGTTTTATTATTATTTCCTTGAAGTTACTAACTCGTTTATTATTTTGAAGTTGTAAACAAACAGAATCAAAGTAAGAATTATGTTCCTTGAAGTTACTAACTCTTTTTAATAGAATTTGTGCAAAAAGCACCAAAAATATGTAAAATATAGGGAAAAAGCGCGAAATTCTATCGCATTCTACCCCCCTTAAAGAAAACGAGTTACGCCCCCGTAACTCAACATACCTGAAACAACTCCGGGTATTTCTTTTTCATTTCATCTTCTGCCTCCCAAGTGGCTTCCTCATATTCTTGGTTAGACCAAAGTACTTTCACAATGTTAACGTTCTTATTGCTTGTACTGCGCGCTTTACTGTCAGGAATCTTGACAGGTCTCTCCTCATAAGTTAAGCTTTGATCTAAATCAATGGTTTCGGGTTGTAGCACATGGGATTTATCAGGAATGTACTTTCTCAATTATGACACATGAAATACATCATGTACTTTACTAAGCTCCATAGGTAAGGCTAACCTATAAGCTACTTTGCCTATTCTTTGTAGTATTTCATATGGACCAATGTATTTTGGATTGAGCTTTCCTTTCTTTCCAAATCTCATCACTCCTTTCATTGGTGACACCTTTAACAACACTTTATCACCAATTTTGAACTCTTCTTCCCTTTGCTTTAAGTCTGCATACCTCTTTAGGCGATGTTGAGCTGCTTGAATTTCCCTTACTTGCTTAAATGTATCTTCAATCATTTGAGGCCCTAGGATCATAGTTTCACTAATGTCGTTCCAACAAATTGGACTACGACATTTCCTCCCATACAAAGCCTTAAATGGTGCCATTCCTATGCTCGCATGGTAGCTATTATTGTAGGAAAATTCAATTAAATCCAAGCTATCTTCCCATCCTCCCTGGAAGTCTATTACAAAAGCTCTCAACATTTCCTCCAAGGTTTGAATGGTTCTCTCAGTTTGCCCAGCTGTGGCAAGGTGAAATTCGTACTCATCTTAAGTGTTGTACCAAAATTTTCACTAGTACATAATTAACCATAAGTAACACCCAAAAAATGTTACAGAAAGTGATAAAAGTGTTATTATAGACAATGGGTAACACTTTAGTGGGTGATACATCCTCCCATGTTACCTAAAGTCTTATGTAACACTTTGGGTAATGTATGGTAACACTTTTAAAAGTGTTACTATAAACCCTATTATGTATCACTTTTTTATATTATTAGTATCATTTTTAAAGTGTTACTTTTTATTTCTTATGTAACACTTGATTATCTATAGTAACATTTATCAATCATACAGTAACACTCTATTCGACATTAAGTATCACTTTAGCAAACTAATGTAACACCTTATTGATTGTTAGATAACATTTTCAATCATCTTTTGACATATAGTATCACTATATTTCTACATTATGTATCACTTTTTTCAAATTAATGTAATACTTTTTTAATTAATTGGTAACACTTTATTATTATTATTATTATTATTATTATTATTATTATTATTATTATTATTATTGTTATTATTATTATTATTATTATTATTATTATTATTATTATTATTATTCACTAGTAGAAAAGGTGTATTAGGGGTTGCCCATAACAGAGGTTAGTAGAAAAAAAAATTTACTTCTTTTTCACTAAAGCTGATAAAAACCATTGAATATATATATATATATATAAACTTGGATAATTTTATTAATAAATGCTTGTAATATTACAATTTCATCAATGAAAAAAAAAACCAATCACAATGCTTGAGGCTAGGTAGCAGTAAAGCACAACATAAGCAACAACAGTGCTGAATCATTATCATTCACAGCCTTCTCCTCCCTATGTTGCCTCCGTTTTTGCGAGTACTGGATGTTGGGATGGGAGTCACATTATTTCATCTGGAATGCAGACACTAGTGCATCAATAAAAGGTTCGTCAAAAAACATGGAGATGCTAAACACACTTATACAGAGAGATCAATTATTCACTAAAACCTCAATTCCGAAAACCTACAATCATCCACAGTATAAGATTTCATTAGTTCACTATAATCTCAGTTATAGTTCAGAAGACAGTTAAATATCTTGACCAAATTCAAATCATTTACCCACTAAAAGAGATGAGACAATATACAATCAGATTCCAACACATCAACAAATGTGATGGAACATCGTTCAATATTATTCAGAGTTTCATACTATAAATTCCGGCATAATAAGACTAAGAGAATTGATTTGAGTATTGATTCATGGAATTACTGAAACAAAATCAGAACATATGAAAATTTTCACCTTTGCATACAATATGGTGGACATGTAAGTTCCACAATCAGACGATTTACTAATATGTTTAGAACTTCAAATTGAATAAAATGAAGAGGCCACTCACAAAATATGAGAATACAAAAGAGAACACTATATAGAAAAAAATCATATGTAAACTAAAAAGTAAAAGGAAAAGAGCACCGAGCAAAGTGATGCAACAAAATTGCCCGGCACGCTCCAATATTCACAGGTCACAAAAAACTCTCTCAAGGAACTTGATAGTTGACAGTATAAAAACTTCCTTTTGTCTTCCGTTATAAATTAGTAGTACACAATTATACCTCATTTCTAATCTTGTAAAAGGAAATTCATTATATAAGAATACTATTTTAATTTAAGGTTACCTGAAATAAAGCAGTTGGCCCAAGCAGATTGCAGGGTAGATCCAACACCAAGGCTCCATAATTCTGACCTAATAATGTCAATGATGGCATTCCCTAAAGAAATAAAGCAGATAAACGCTTAAAAAGATACTCCTTCCGTGTTTTTTTTAAGTGTTACACTTTGACCGACACATAGTTTTAGACAATTTAATTGACTTAAATATAATAAGAGGTAAGTGGGGTACTTGATATCTGACTTGCAAATGTTAGAAATAAATATTCTTTGCATTAACTATTTCACTTGTGAAATTTACAAGTGGTGGGCTTGTGGTTCACATTTTGTTAATCGCACTATATAATCAACTTGTCATGCTCTTGTTATTAGTTTTCTATATTTTTAATCTTTTTTTTTTCTTTAATAGTTTAGGGGTGAGGTGGCATACAATTAGACATCTCCAAAATAACATAGGGATCTAAATTGGATGTGGTTGTCATTTTCTGTGCTGTGTATTTGTAAAATGTTAACTAGCCTTTTTCTGTTAATGCTTAGCCAGCTACGAAAGGTGAAAAATTCATAGATCTATATTCTATAGGAAAAATTGTCAAAAAAATACAATGAGCGATCCGCTAAAAACAAGTTAAACTTGTAATTATTTCTAAATAATACAAACTTTAAGGGATATATGCTTTAAAAAAGTTATTTTACCTACAACTTATTTAACCGGTTATTTTTTTTATTTATCTTATAAAGTTTTTTAATAGTTTTTAAAAAATAATACAATGTCGCGTGTTCCATATAACCTATTCATGAGGTAAATAATCGGTTTTAACTTGTTTAAAACGGATAACCCTCAAAGTTTGTATTATTAAAAAATAATTAAAAGTTTGACTTGTTTTTGGCGGATTGCTCAAAGTTAGTATTATTTTTGTTAACTTTTCCTATTCTATAAAGGAAAAGGATGTTTAATTTAGTAGCATATTGAGCTACTATACATCAAAACTACAGATGAGAATAAACTTAAAAAGCAATGATGCACACTTGCCGACTTAGGCTACTCTCTGCAACTACATACTTGTTTTGTGTCTGCTGTGATGAATCGTTAAAAAAAATTATAATTTTTTATATCTAAATTCCAAAGTTCCATGAGTATTGCTTTTCTATTTTGACTATTGGTATATTTGGATGATAATGATCTAAATTAAAATAGCTCATGAAACTATTTGTTATTGATCATTGTGTAGAAGCTCATGAAACTATCTTAACAAATAAAATCCAAATGTCATATAAACTAACTATGACATTCTAGATTAGACTACTGAAAGTAAATAAACCAGACGCACAGTAGTACTTAATAACCAAAATTTTGCACTAGCTAGTTATACTTAGCTTAGCTTATTTTAAAACTAAACAATTAAACATTCAGTCAAGCTAAGAGTTGACCCTTCAAACATTACGTTAATATAACATTTCTTTTTCAAATTTCTGATTTTTTTTCAATATCCATAATGTCTTGAAATATTAATACTAATAATAATAATAATAAAGTCATTTTGATCTCAATAGTGATATATTTTGATAAATTTGTTAAGGGTTAAGTATGTGAATCTCCTTGATGAAATCACGAAAACAGAAAATAAAAAAAACAAATGTACATAAAAGAAGTGCAAGAAGAGAGGAAGAAATTTCAGGTACAAAACCATGAAAAAGCCGCCCAGCGATTATAAAACCATGGACATTAAATATCAAATTCCAATATAGGAGAAGGCACAACAACTATTTGCAAGTTAGAAGTCCAATTTTTGAAATATATATTAATGACTTGGTTAGATTTTGTAAAATTAATCATAAGGGATTATATTGGATTTTGGAATAAGTAAAGTAAAATCAAATTATATACTCTGTATAAAACCACTAAAAGCGATTAATTCAATTAGATCAAGCCCAAGGTACTTAATGATCCAACAAGAAATATACTTATATTGCACATATAGTTGAAGCAAAACCCATGAAAGCAATAAATTCAACATTTGATGGAAGTTAAAATTTCTTATTACACCAAGTTTAGAGTCATAGGGAGTTTAAACTTAAAGTTTATAAGCAACATGTAATGCTCAAAACAATGATTCTTATGAAAAATTGCTAACCTTTATAGTCAATCAACTCGATAGTCCTCAATTCAGTTAATACATTAGCTTCTCACACATCCAAAGCCCTAAACACGGCATTGCCTTCAATTTCTGCATCTCTTTCACACATAGTTACTTGGATTCTAGACAAGTTTATGAAGAATCAATTCAGAAAAGAAAATAGTTAAATTAAAATTGGTCAGATTAGTTAAAAAAGATGAAATTACAAGGTAAATCAACGAAGCAGTAATGGAAAAGAAGAAAAAACAAAAAACCCCAAACTCATCTAAATATATACTTCATCCAATTCAGATGCATGCAAAATTAAGTATGATAATAGTAAAATTAAACTTGTTAATAGGAAAATTCACTATGAAAATAGTGAAATGAAACATGATAATAGGAAAATTCAATATCAAATTAAATCCCTAAATTTAGTTAGCTCAAGTACTTGTTCATAATGGAAGGGAGAGGGAACTGACCTAACCATAACCCTAAATTTAAGGTGGAAGCCGTCGAGGATGGAGGCCAGGAGGTGGCAAACGTTGTCTCTTCAACTTGGATCACGGGCAATTGTGACATCTTCGAGTTGGAGCACGGGTTGCAATGGAGGGAGGTTGCGGCAGTGGATGGGGACTGCAGTGGAGCACCGGGAACGAGAAAGGGGTAGCGGTAGTAATGGTGGAAGCCGAGAAGGGGGTAGCGATGGAAGCCGAGCAAGGAAAATGAAGTGTAAAAGATAGTGAAAGCTTGAGGGATGGAGAAGTAAGAGGGAAGAAGAAATTTGTGACTTGTGACTTTTGACTAGTGAGGCTGTAATTGTGAGGATCAATTGCTTTATTAAAAATATTTGTAAAAAAACAAGAAAAAAAAAGTGTTATAACCAAGTGCTACCTAATATCTAAGTGTTACCATAAAGTGTTACATAATATTAAAGTGGTACAAATAATGTTACCTAATATAGCAGTGTTACAAAAGTGTTACGTAAAAATTAAACAATCATGAAATTGTTAAAGTGTTACCAATGGGTGTTACTTAAGCTCAATTTTGTAGTAGTGTTTCTTGTACACTTTTCCAGAATTTTGAGAGAAACCTGGAATCTCTGTCAGATACAATATCCTTTGGAACCCCATGTAACCTCACAACATGTTTGATGTAAGCTTTCGCAAGATGCTCCATCTTCCAAGTTTCTTTCATTGGTATAAACACAGTTGATTTTGTAAGCCTATCCACCACTACCCAAATGGTATCATTTCCACTCTTTGACTTAGGAAGGCAAGTCACAAAATCCATTGAAATGAAATCCCACTTCCATCCTGGAATTTCTAATGACTGCACCGTCCCTTGAGGCCTCTTGTGCTCTATCTTCACCTTTTGACATTTTAAACACTTTGCCACAAACTCAGCAACCTCATTTTTCATTCTAGGCCACAAAAACATCTTCTTCAAATCCTTATATAGCTTGTCTCCTCCCGGGTGTACTGAGTAAGGTGTATTGTGGCCTTCTTCCATCAACTTTCTCTTCACTTCCTCACATTTCTGTGGTACGCACCATCGATCTTTGTACCTCAAACTCCCATCTTCGTGAATCTTGAAGTTTGTAGTTTTTCCCTGCTTAATTTTCTCGCGAATCTTATCCAACTTTACATCTACCTCTTGGTTGGCTCGAATCTCGTCGAATATTGTTGGTTGGATGCTTAGACTCGCAAGAATACCCTCTGGTACTCCCCATTCTACAACCTCTAAATTTATTTCATCATTTCCCTACATAACTCATTAGCTACTACTAACGAGTTTATTCCACGACTATTTTTACGACTTAGAGCATCCGCAACCACATTCGCTTTCCCTTCGTGGTATTTTATGTCTAAATCATAATCCGTTGTATACTTTAACCATCTCCTTTGGCGAGAGTTCAAGTCCTTTTGGGTGAAAATGTACTTTAAGATTTTATGGTCTGTGTAAATTCTACATTTCACTCCATACAAATAATGGCGCCATATTTTTAGTGCAAAAATGATTGCAGCTAATTCCAAATCATGGGTTGGATAGTTTACTTCGTGGGTCTTTAACTGCCTCGATGCATATGCAATCACCTTCCCATTTTGCATAACACGCACCCTAAACCATTCTTTGATGCATCGCTATACAAATCATACAGTCTACTATCATCCGGAAGTGTAAGCACTGGTGCTGTAATTAGTTCGTGTTTCAAGAGTTGGAACGCCTCTTCACACTTATCGTCCCACTCAAATTTCTTGTCCTTCTTCATCAAGGTGGTCATAGGTTTAGCAATCTTGGAAAATTCCTTGACAAAACGCCTATAATACCCTACTAAACCTAAGAAACTTCGCACATCAGATATTGTCTTGGGTGTAGGCCAACTCTTAACAGCTTCTATTTTGGCTGGGTCTACCTCTACTCCGTCCTTGGACACGAAATGTCCCAAGAAGGCTAACTTTTCCAACCAAAACTCACACTTAGAGAATTTTGCATAAAGGTAGTTTTCTCTTAGTGTTTGAAGAATTGCCCTTAGGTGTTCTGCGTGCTCTTCCTTGCTCTTTGAGTACACCAATATATCATCTATGAACACTACTACAAACTTATCCATAAATTGATGAAACACCCTATTCATCAAATCCATAAAGATTGCTGGAGCATTTGTCAATCCAAAAGGCATAACTGTAAACTCGTAGTGTCCATATCTTGTCCTAGATGCGGTTTTAGGAATGTCCTCGTCGGCAATCCTCGATTGGTGATACCCAGATCTCAAGTCAATCTTTGAAAACACTGTGGCAACCTTTAGTTGGTCAAACAAATCATCGATTCTTGGTAAGGGATACTTATTCTTTATCATTACTTTATTTAGTTCCCTGTAGTCAATATACAACCTCATACTTCCATCCTTCTTTTTCACAAATAGAACTGGCGCTCCCCAAGGAGAAGCACTTGGTCTAATGTATCCCTTTTCCAATAAATCTTGCAATTGCTCCTTTAACTCACTCATTTCTTCATGTGCCATTTGATATGGTGCCTTGGATATTGGGGTTGTTCCGGAAACTAAATATATGGTAAAGTCGATTTCCCTCTTAGGTGGCATTCTAGGAATCTCCTCTGGAAATACATCCAGGAATTCATTGACTACTTCTATATTTTCTGGATTTGTCACTTGTTCATGGTCCATATTCCTAACACTACAGAAATATACTGGATGTCCCTTCTTCATGTATTTTGCTAATTTTAGCACTGATATTAACCTTAGGAACTTTCTTTTACCATTCATCCAGTAAGTCACTAATTCATTTCCGCTTGTGACCATCTTCACTTTCTATGATCTACAACTAATCTCAGCATTATACTTACTTAACCAGTCCATTCCCAGAATAAGATCAAAGTCACTCAGCCCAAACTCAATAAGGTTAGACGGGAATATCTTTCCTTCTATTTCTAAAGGCACATTTCTAAAGGTTTTGGTACATTTCACTACCCCACCTTCAGGAATGGTTATGGGTAAATCTACTACTTCTACTATCTTTAAACAGTCTTTATGTTTTGAAACAATACCCTTAGAAACAAAAGAAAAAGTTGCACCAGAATCAAACAATACTTTAACAGGAATAGAGTTAATAGAAAAAGTACCAGTGATAACATCTTTCGTGGCATCCGCCTCATGCCTACTCAAAACATTCAGTTTCCCTGCAATTCCACCCTTCTTGTTGCTATTCCCACTGGTGGTGTTACTGTTCTTTGCTCCATTATGTTGCACTCCCTTATTCCCAGTAAAGTTGTTGTAGTTCACCTAGAAATTCCTCTGGTTTTCTTCTAAATTATTGTTGTTTTGCCTGTCCCATTGCTGTTATTGGAGAAACACTCATACTCCCTATGCCCTAGTTTATTACAAACACGACAAGCGACCAAATTGCCCTCGCAATCCTTTCCAGGATGGTTATTTCTACACCTCTTGCAAAAATAAATCCTCCCATTCTTGTTATTCCCCTGGTTATTGTTTCTAGCCCCTCCATTGTGTTACGGTTTCCCTGACGGTTATCACCCTAGAAGTTATTATTGTTGCGGAAGTTATTGTTATTGTGGTACTTCTGCTTCTTAAAACCATTATAGTTTCCTTGCTGGTTACCAGAAACCTGTCCCACTTCCTTCCTCTTCTCACTTCCTTCTATTTCAGCTAACTCCTTCTTCTTCTTATCCTCCAATGCATAAAGGTGTGCGGCCCTTCCATATACTTCATCCAGGGTCTCAAATACTTGCCCGCACAGCTTTAACTGCAAATCACTAGTTAAACCACTCTCAAACTTCCTAGATTTTGGGTTCTCCGTAGCGACAGACTCTTCGACAAAACGGGACAACTCAATAAACTTTGTTTAGTATTTCGTAACTGACATCCTTTCCATCTTAAGGTTTGAGAATTCCTCAGCTTTCTGCTTGTGCAAAAAGCTAGGATAAAACTTGTCTCTCACTTTCTCTTGGAACTTAGTCCAATTAAACCTAGGTAGCGCTCTAATGGTAGTCTCATTTTGTTGCCACCAAAGGTTAACTTCACCCCTCAGATAGTAAGTAGCATAACTCACTTTTGAGTTTTCAGGGCATCCCACAACTCCAAATAGTCTCTCAAATTCCCTCAACCAGTTTTCCAATATGGTAGGGTCAGGCTCCCCTTGATATGTTGGTGGCTTACTTTGTGCCACCTTCTTAAAGAGCTCACCCTGAGCATCCCCATTATCGGTTGAGTTTCTTGCCAATTGTTGGGAAACTGCTGCCAAATTTTCTCACTACTTCATTCAAATCGTTTCCACCATTACCAAAACCTCTTCCCCCTGCCATTTTGCTTCTTCTGAATTAAGAACAAGAGTCTATATTAGAAATGGCTATGGTTAGTTCTCAAGACATACACCCATCTATCACCTAGCACTCTTTAAACATTCACAGTAAATTTTGAAGCTAACAAATTGGGATAGCGAAAGCTAAGAATTCCCTAAATTTATAACTTTGTCAATCAACTATTGATTGCTAACCAACCATACATTTAATAAAGAATCACATAGATAAAAAAAAATAAAAAAAAAAACCATAGATGCCCATAGCTTAGAAATATTTATTGGAATTAAGTTGCTTGGAATTTTGGCTATTGGAATAGTGATGTGAGATGGGAGATTTGGAAAATAAATGAATTTATTTATTAGTAACATATAAAAAATGTTGACAAGGAAATAAATGTGGTCTTATTAATTAAAATAGACTGAAATTACTAAAATAAAAATTATTTTCTAGAAACTTATGTGGTCATGCCACTTATTAATTTAAAACTAAAATAATAATAACTAAAATAAAGACTGTGAATTCATGACGAGGAAAGTTATAATATCTAATCCTTTCGAACGTTGTCCCTTTTGTCAGTGGATTGTTTGTAGCTTGAAAGATCGAAATCTGAATCATTTGACTCCTCCATTAGTTCAGGTGACTCAGGTTCGGGTTCTACTTGTACAAACTCCCCTTCTTCCTCCTCCTCCGAAGAAATGTCTATTATTAATTGAGTTGGAGATGGATTAGGATTAGAAATCTCCATAAGTGAACTATCTCCCTCTTGTTGTTCTTCATTTTCTGCCTGACTACCCCCTGACGAAGAAGAAGAAGAAGAAGAAGAAGAAGAATTTCCTTGTTGTTGATTAGGAGGAGGATTGTTCCCTATGGGACTATCGTAGTAGTAGTAGTCAGGGTAGAGAAGATTTAAGTGCTGACAATGAGCTTTTTCCACTCTTACGAGATATTTAGTCAAAAAAACATAATCTGGATACCACTGGCCATAATAGTCTTTGTATTTATGGTAATTCAGAATGTCTCCTGGAAGGTAAAAATCAGAAAATCTCTATTTAACAGCAACGTAAGGAGGCTCCTCTA